TAAAAAGTAGAAGGCTTACCTGGGAAGTCAGATGTTAGGCAAATTATAATGTGTCATAAATCCAATGTCTATACTTAGTCCATGATTTTTTGTGTCCAGTAGATTGATGAAGTGGAGTTCGTAGGCTCATCTGTAAAAAGTATTTTGTAAATTCCCTTTGATGATTAGAACTGAGAGATTGGAAAGAGAATGGTTTTCTTGTGAGAAATGTGCCCCCACAGGTAATTGGGTGTTTTTGTCTTTGATAGATTTATGGTATGCATTCATTCTGGTGTGCAGCTGTTGTTTGGTTTTTTCTACATATTTTCTATCAGGGCATTTAGTGCACTGGATGAGATAAATTACATTTCTAGACACAGGTAGAAAATCCAGGAATATTGATGGTTCTGTTGTGGGGTGTAGTTATTGTGGGAGTGGCAGAGATGTGTTGACAGATTTTACATTTCTTGTCCGGGCATGGTCTGGATCCAGTAAGTGTATTTTGGGCCATAGGCAGTTTGCTTTTGGTGATGAGGTTAGCAAGGCTTGGTGCTTGTTTAAAGGATAGGATGGGTGGTTCAGAACCAGAGCTTGAGTGTGGCTTGTCGGGAGCTTTTTTGCCATATGGAGATTTATCTTACCATTACATTTATAGGGTGCATGAGCTTTTATTATGTAGAATAAGTTTTAGGGTGTGCTTGTGAAACTCTTGAAAAAGAAAACAGAAAAGGAATAAAAGGGCCAAAAAGTGATTGAAGTGCATATAGGAGAAAAGGGGAGAGGGAGAGAAGTTTAAGTACTTCTACCGTTTTTGTGCAGTGATATAGCCTCTCCCTTCAGTTAATTATTATATCATTTTAATAGAACATAATTGCTATAGTTTTTACTTCATTTTTCATATCAGATATTACATAAATGTTATGGTTGGATATTGCACAAGCCCACAAAGACAGAAAAAAGGAGTAGGGGATAAATTCTAGCCCTTCCAAATTTAGACCAGTGGCATGGCCCATGATGAAGCATTCACAACACAAGGTAACATCCCGTGGTGTGCAACTCCTGTAACTGTTGACTCTGCTTAATATCACAAGCTTTTCTTAGTCCCATATGTGTGAGGAAGCTGGAATGGATTGAGGTCTGAGGAACTAGGTATTAGGAATTTGTGCACAAGGACATTAGATGAAGAAATTAGAAGAAAACAACAAAATTGCTTGCTGGTGGTTACTGAATGGAATGAGATGTCCAACTCCTTCAGGTGGTCAATGGAGGGTTGAGCATCATCACTGACTCTATAAGTCCTTTTGAAAATCCTAGCCTAGAATCCTGTTGAAGGCCAGATTTACATCATTCTCAGTGGAACCTGCTGGCTGCTGACAATGTTTGAAAATTTTGGCCAAAAAGGGGAAAAGGATGGTGTGCATCCACATGCTGACATTCTGAAAGGCTGCTACTGGGATTTCACAACACCTTTTTGTAAACCTTTTCAAACCTTTTTGTAAGGTGGGAGAAAATAGGAGGTGTCTCATGTGTTTTTCCATTAATACATTGCACAAGAACCAGAAATGCTAGAGATGGGCAAGGTGGCTTGGATCATATAGTCTGACTTTCTGAGAAGAAGCCCCTCCAAGAACTCGGGCAAGTACATGTGCTCCAGGCCTACCTAACAATGTGAACACACCACACGCCTCAGAAACATGGGTGGATCTAGGGTTTTGAAAAGAGGGATGCAGATGGTATAGCATATCGCCACATGTAACAACCCATCTTTTTCTCCAGGTGACAGAAACTAGAAGTTTTACTAAGATGATTGGGGCCTAGCACTCTATTATTCAGTTAAAAATCAAAGTAAAAACTGTTGCCCTGAGGGGTCAGGCCAATGCTCTGGATCTCAATATTGCACTGTTAGACAGGAGGGTGTGGTGTACAATTGCACATGCACACTTAAAATTCAATTAAGCACACATACACTCAATAGGTGCATACACCCCAACTAGGCATACACACTTACATTAGCAACTCAGATACACACACGTTCAAAATAACCAGTCTAGGTTCATGCACACCTATCACCAGTTTAAGCCCATACACACTACACACACCAAATTTAGACAGAATCAGTTACCAACACCTGCATATCCAATACACATACGTGGATTACTAATTCATATACCGTACACACACAATGATATCTATATATGTATATATATATGTGTGTATTCACTAATTCACACACATACCACCCACCTACACATACACACAGGTGGGTTCCTAAGTTGGGTGTTGTGATGTGTATGTATGTATGTGCTTGGTGTACTTCGGATACCTGGGGAAAGGTTGAGGTAAGAAAGTAGAAGTGTAGGGAGTGAAAGTTGCTGGGAGTGAAAGTCACTGGGACTGGGATTAGAATCGGTAGACTAGAGCGATGCCGGCACAGAGGCTGGGACTGGAGCCAGAGCTATGGGGGAGCTGAAAAGGTAGGTGGGGAGAGGGAAAATGGGACTAAGGGAAAGTGTGGGTGTTAAAGAGGGGCTCTGGGTGTGGGGGGGCAGAGCATGGCTCCAGGGCAGCTAGAGAAGTTGCAGGGAG